GATCCGGGACATGAGGGCTGGGTTTACATTGAGGATCGTACAAAGGAAGGCATGCAATTGGGTGGAAATGGGAGAAAACTGGTGAACCGGACAGGGGCTCGCGCCCCTCGAACACATGGACCCCCCCAGCTCCGGTGGAGGAGAAGGTGCAGGAGACACAGGTGACCCTCCTGCAAGGAAACACGGAAAACACAGGCTGGAAAACGGTGGAGAAGAAAGGAGGAAAAGGAATGTGGGTTCAAAAACGACAAACAAAACCCGGCCCGTCGCGAGATGATAACCAGTGGCCCCGAGACACCCTGGGCCCTGTGGCTGGACAGTATATTCCACAAGAAGAAGACACAAACGGAACCAGAGCCCACACGAAGCAACTCACTTCTTCTAAGCATATACAACAGAGCAAGACCGAAGTGACAAGGGGAAAAAGCACAAAGGAAGGGGAAACAACAACACATGAGAAGGTCTCATACGGCCCCCCCAAACAGTTGGGACACGAGGGAGCAAAGGAGCAGCCGGAGGGACAGGTGGAGGCGGGGGAGATGGAGGTGGACCAGGGCCGCAGGGAGACCTCCTAGTGGGACAAACGATTGACATTGACCCCTTCCAGGTGGCCTTCGACTCATAACCGATGGACGTCGATCCTCCTCCAGTTAACGTCAGCACATCACCCGAGGGCTAAGACATGGGAAAAAACTCAGAAGGTGAAGAGGAATGGGCGCCGCCACAACATTCATCCATGGAACAAAAACTAGTCGCCATTGCAGAATGGTTGATGGGAAATTTGAAAGCGAAACACGGGGCCCCTCACTGACGAATTCTGGGACAGGACATACCTAGAATTATTCCCTATGCGTGACATGAGCGCCTCACTTAAAAACGTACTGGAAAAGGGATTGTAGTCTGGGGTGAGGTGGACGAAAGCATGGCACAGATTAACAACAACAGTTTTTGCACGATTCCAACCACCACATGCAGCAGCAACAAAAGAAACAAAAGAAACGGAACAGAATGGAGACGGGGACGAAACAGAGAATGAACACGAACAAAGGACACAGGACCCCCCGAAACTGCAACAACCAGTCCCATTATCGGGCCTGGACCCTCCAAACCCGGATGAGGACACACCACTGGACCTGGTGCGGAAAAGAAAACTCAGACAACTGATTGAGATGGTCGTGATTCTGGCCCGCTATCGCAGAACGTCATGCTGCTTATCCTCGTGCAGAAGAAAAATGAGAAATGGGAGGTGAGCTTGTCTCCGGAGGAGAATGGCAAACAGGGGAGTGTCATGCTACAGGGTTGGTCGTCGTTTTGGGCGGAGCCACGGAACAGCCAATCTGAAGCAGCGGCAGAAATTTTACGAATGAAACTGGAATCCCACATTACTGATTCTCTACCACCAGGAGCACAGGCCATAAGCCACGATCACAACAGGCCCCAACAAAATAGCGTAGAGGGATGTCTATATATGATACGACCCAACCAAGGAGGCAGGCATGAGATGGCATACTCGCGCCCAAATGCTGAACCTACAAATTGTCAAGATTGGACACAGCGACACCTGGACCGAACAAGATGTCCAGAGATGTTTATGTGCTCTCCTTAGACAAGGTTAGGACTGGGACTGGGACCAACTGTCGTGGACCCGCCTGTAAGGAAATAATTCAAGGAGTAATATGAACGACGCGAGCAAGATAGATCCAGCCAGGGCAGTGTACGGGAAAGACCGCATTTGGAATCAATGCAGGAGGGCAGCTGATCTGGACCTACGCTCCTTGAATGTGAACGTCCTGGCCTCCTGCAAACGGAGAAACAAAATGCAATCCGGGACTTGATGAAAGGAGTGGGGAGTAGAAACTGGCCAGATATAGTCTGTGTACAGGAAACACACCGGATGGACACCCCAGAGCACAACCGCACTCATAAGATGATCTGGCCATACCAAGCCTTCAGGGCCCACGCCCCGAAACCAGGAAGCGTTGGGGTGGCCATCTGGATCCCCCCTGAGTCCCGGGCAGACCCGGTCCACTGGGTGGCAGACCAGGAGGACGGGCCGGTGGGTGTCTGTCTTGGTTGCACTAGAAATCGAAATGTGTATCTACGCCCCCAACACCGTAAGCGAGAGAAGAATTTTCTTCGAGAATATTAAAGCGCAAATATTTGAAGGGGTTCCGGTCATTATAGCAAGGGATTGCAACGCAGCCCCAAACCGATGGATGGACATATGGCGAACACCTTCCCCAGCCCCGACGTATGTGGAGGAGGATGAGCGGATGATAAACGATCTATGTCTCTCACTGAAAGTCTTCGACTCCTTCCGAAAATTGAATCCAGACACAAGATTCTCTTCATGTTTACGGAGAATTGGGGAAGGGATCTAAGAAAGTGTATGATAATAAGGCTATACTCAACATTGCCCACTTCGTGACCTGCACAGGATCCGTGTGCTACAGGACAAAGATGTGTGGATCGCATACCAGCCAGACACCCCCGTGGCTGAGCTCCCCTTTGATCCCGAGGAGTGGCAGTTGCAATCAGACTCGTTCTCATTCACAGTTTTCATGCATGTAAACAGTAGCGCAGCAAACTGGCGACATGCGCCCACTCAAAACTCAGAGATATGGCATCCTGATACGAGTTCACTTTCAACTGGCTATGGCGACTCAGCGCCCAAACAACTCACTGTTCACGTACACTGGATCACCCTGAATATTCCACACGCGAATCTCTGAACTCACACACACACACGCACTCGCTACACACTAACTCTAGCTATGGCGGCTATGGCCGCATCTACCCTATCGCTATGCTACGCTCCTTCTCTCTCGCCCACTTCTGCTCCGGGCTCACTACAGACCTCCTTGCACAAGTCGTTGTGGCAGCGCTTCCGCATGGCTCATGCAGGAATGAATGAATGGTTGGGCGCTGCCTCTTGATTTATACTTCTGAAACTCGTTGGTCTGCCCTTTGCCATCGGCCCATGGTGCTCACAGTCCCTCGTGTAGGCTCGTGGTACTTGCTGGACCGGACTGGCACTGACTGGACCTGACCGCTGACTAAACGGGGACTCGCTGCTATCGCACCGGGATCGTACTGCAATCGCACTGCGGTTTAGTCCACCACTTGGCTCACCACTTGACCACTTGCCCACTTGCCGACCTTCTAGAAGCCTACAGCTAAGACTTCTGGACTTCGCTAGGACTTCTATTTGACAGACCTACAGATCGAACCCCTACCACCCACGGACCTAAGATAGCCTACCAACCGTTTATGAATACACAGGTCACAGGTTCAACTCTCGGGGTTTACACAGGTACTGTACAGGAGTAGGGTGAGGTCTAGGGATCGAGCCCTGGGATCTGCATCTGTGCAAAAAGGTGAAAACCGTTTCACTCCCGCCGTCCTAAATTCGAGGGCCTCCGAGAATATTTCAGTCCAAGGCAGGACCTTTACCCTTTTTGTCACGCTCATAGGCTTTGACTATGTCGGGAGCTGTTTCTAGAAGTTCTGTCCTAGTGAACCAGCGGTCGTCTTCCGGTTCCTGATGAGCAAACCGGTATACTATTTCTGTGGACGACCTCTACCTCGTGTTCTAAAGACATCTTCATCTACAATGTCGTCAATGTCATAGCTGCCATCCATATCAGGGGGGGGATCATGGACCTTCTTGAAGGGAACTGTTGAGTTGTGACACACGACAACAACTTTGAAGCATGAAATACAGGATAAGTGTGGAGGTGCGCTGGAATCTCTATTGTATAGGACGGCCCATCCTCTCCGCCTTTGACCTCTAGAACTGGCCACGGTCCTCTATAGGCAGGCAGCAACTTCTGCGAGATGTGCTCCTCAGGTGCAAACTTTTTAGATTTGACCCAGACTAAGTCGCCTACCTGAAACTGCGATGGGCGACGGTGCTTATTGGCCTGTTCTATCATTCGATGTTGGGCCTTCCTGAGGTTTTCAACAACAGTTGCTAGCTCTTTCTCGTGTTGTACTGCGAACTCCCTGGTTCCGGGCGGTAGCCTATGAATCTGATCCCGGTTCAGTCCTTCGAACGGTCTACGTGGTCTAAAGGACTTGGGCAGCTCACTGGGAGTGCGGCAGGTGGATGAATGCATGTTGTTATTGTGCATTAGCTACCTTAGGCAACATCTCATCCCAGTTGATTTGGTCAGGTCTAATGTACATGCGCAGAACTTGTTGTAGGATCTTGTTCATCTGTTTTGTCTGACCGTTGGTCTCTAGGTGATGGCCAGATGACATTAACAACTTAGATCCATAAACTCGCATGAGTTCTTGCCAGTTCTGGCTGGTGAAACGACTATCTCTATTGCTAACTATGGATAACGGGACTCCGTTCTCACTAACCCAATGATCAAAAAACTTCTGAATAACTAATTATGTGCGTGCCTCTGCAGGCAAAGGAACAAAAACAACACACTTGCTAAATCGGTCAACTATGACCATGACTTGGCTCTTACCATGTCTACTCTTGAGTTGAGTATCCATAAAGTCTATGGACACAGTGTCTCCCGGCTGATCAGGAATAGGCAACGGTCTTAGGAGACCTAGAGGGGCACATGTAGTGGTCTTGTTCCTCTGGCAAACTTTGCAACTGCGGACATACTCTATGCAGTCATTCTTCATTCCTGGCCAGGTATACGCATGCATTAGATTGGCTAGAGTCTTTTGCCAACCGAAATGTCCCTCTGTATCGTGGCATTCCCCTAGGATTACACTGCGGATCTCTTCGCTGTTGGGAACGCATAGATGGTCGAATACGTTAGTCTTCTCAAACAGCAACCCGTCTGTAGTGTGGTAATCTGGTTTAGTCTCTGGTGCCTCTCTAACTCTCTTTAGGAGGTTGCTATAAATAGGGTCCTGCGCATACGCTTGTCTCACTTTCTCCTGCAGGTCTCTCCCTATATCCAGAGAGTGTATTGTGGCTCCAAAGTAGTCTGATCTCCTACTCAGAGCGTCCGCAACCACGTTGTACTTGCCCTTCACTGGCTTGAGCTCAAAATCGTACTGGTCTATCTCAGCGGCCCACCTAGTCAACTTAGGTGTCATTTTGGCCTGGGTCTTTAATCAACGAAGCGTCTCATGGTCAGAATACACTTTGAAGTGTCGCCCAAGCACGTATTGCTTCCAGTGTTCTAAGGCCTGCCTGAGAGCGTAGAGTTCTCTCTCGTACGTCGAGGTGGCTACCTTCTCTGAGGGCATCCTCGCTGACATGAACTCTACGGGTCTATAGCCATTGCCGTTGTCTTGCTGCAACACGGCGCCTATACCATACTGACTCGCGTCCGTGGTGACAACAAATGGCAAGGATGGATCAGCTACTTTGAGGACAGGGTACTCTATCAATGCGCGCTTCAACTTCTTTAGCGCAGAAGTACAATCTTTGTCCCATTGCCAGATTGCCTCTTTCTTTAGCAACCTGCGCAAGGGAGCGGCGATAGTAGAGACGTTCCTCACGAACTTCCTATAGTAGTTGGCTAGGCCTAGGAACGACCACAACTCTGTCAATGTGCGGGGCGTCGGCCAGTCTCTAATCGCCGCTATCTTGCTGTCCTCTAGCTTAATGCCGTCTCCGTCTAATACGTGGCCCAAGTACAAGACTTGTGTCTTGGCCCACTCGCATTTCTTTGCGTTGATCTTGAAGTTAGCCTCTCTGAGCTCCTCCAAGACCTGCCTCAAATGACCCTGATGCTCCTGGAGGGTCTTGCTGAAAACTAAAATGTCATCTAAGTATACTACAACAAATCGATCTAATCAGGGTCTAAACAAATCGTTCATACAACGCTGAAATGTAGCTGGCGCGTTGGTTAGTCCAAAGGGCATCACTATGAACTCATAATGCCCATAACGAGTCCGGAACGCAGTCTTGTACTGGTCATCAGGATGGACTTCTATCTGATGATATCCGGACTTCAAATCTATCATAGAGAAGTACTTACAACCCTGCACCCGATCTAAGAGATCGTCTATCCTGGGCAGCGGCTCAGCATTCTTCACTGTAATAGCGTTCAAACCCCTGTAGTCTATACACATTCTCAACTCTCCTTCCTTTTTGGGGACAAACAAGACTGGTGCTCCAAAAGGAGACGAACTGGGCCTGATCGAACCTTTCTCGAGGAGCTCGTCTACCTGCTTACGTAGCTTCTCTAACTCTCTAGGGGACATCCTGTAGACCGCTCCCTTAGGAGTTCTACTGCCAGGCTCTATCTCTATCCTGTGCTGGATGGGTCGCGGCACTACTCCTGTCGGCGACTCAGTCAAGTCTTTGAACTCCTCCAGCAGCTTGGCAATGGTTGGATTTGTAGAAGTCACCTCTTCCTTAGCCTCAGTGACAGGTCTAACATACACTACAAAGACCTGCTCCTCTAACTTCTCCTTTTTCATTATTCGCGCGAACGCGGGAACACTGAGACAGCAATGTGCCAAGGTGTTATCTACACCGGACACATGAAACAGGCGGGCAGTCTTAACCTCGCCTGACGGAATAGGGAGGCTACGCTCATGTTCTCTCAAATGGAGTGTGACCCCGGCTGCCTCTCCCCAATCCATTCCTAACACTACGTCGAAAGGAAGTTCATCCTGTGCGAGGAGAGTCAGGGAGTGGAGAACTTTCTCCACCTTCCCATCTTTCTCTAGGCGAAAGTACGCCTGGACTCCCTCTACGTAGTCCTCAACGCGCATAGTGCGGTTGTCTGCGAGGACACTAACTATGGGGTCTGCCAATTTTTGGACTTTTAATCCTAGCCTTAGCTTCTTCAGCGCCCAACGGCTAATATGACTGCGGGTGGCCCCTGAGTTTATAAGGGCCCCTACTCTACTTCTAAACACTTCTACGTCTACCAAGATTAGTTGTCCCTTACTCTCCTTCTTCATTTTGGCCCAGGCTGGCATCCTCTCCTTCAGCTCTTCTGCCACACCTGTGACGGACGTGCCTAGAGAGACGCTAACACAAACAATCTCTGGACAGCTAGCTAGGCACGGGCCTGCAACCTCTGCCATACGCACATGTGGTTTGGGAGTTTCCTGTGTGCGCGCGCTCGCTTCCCCACATGGCCTTGAAGTTGCGACCCCTACTGGCGGCTGCTTTTGACTGCTGGGCAGCCCAACGGGTCTGTCTATACTTAGGACAAAATTTAATCACGTGGGCCGGGTCACCACAAAACACGCACTGACCCTGGTCTACGCGTTCCTGCCATACGCGCTGGTCCAAGCCCAAATCCTCCCAAGGTCTGCCCTGTGACAAGCTTGGGTGCCATCCTCCTTGAGGTGACCTTCTACCTCCTCGCTGCGGGGACCGACAAGAACCCTGGCGATTCGGCGGGGGACCTTGACCCCTACCTCCCACTTGGCGGTTCCCTTGTCCGCCAACCCCCTGTGCGCCCGGTCCTTGACCTCCCATGGCCTGGCCCCTTTGGCCCTGGCCTCCTCCTCTTCCTTGCGGCCTCCCTCCAACCGCAACAGCAGCATAGGACCTCCCCTGCCCCACTCCACTGTCCTCTTCCTCAAGGCCCCACTCAATCTGACTATATGGGACCTCATCCGTCCCTCACTTGGCCTGAGATGGTACGGCCTTTCCACTTCTTCCCCTTGTCCAGGTCCTTGTGCCAGAAAGTGGACACTGGCATGGACTTTGACTCGAACAGGACGACTTCTTTACTCAACACATCATATGTGATGCCGGCCTGTTGAGATTTGTCAGAAGAAGTGCCCCCTCAGGGGCTCTGGCATGGCACGATAAAATAATTGGACCAACTGGGGCTCAGTGACCCCGTGGTCTGGGACGGCTACCAAGTCGTCCATAACGCCCTTGAGTGCTCTTGCACTCCTCCACTGTTGCGAGTGGATCGTCTGCAATTTATCAAAGGCCCTAACGCCTCTCGTTGGGTCAGCAAATCCCTCCCTGAGGAGCTTGAAGAACCGAGGAAGGGGGGTGACTTTAGAGTATGCAACCAGGTTGTTTTCACAACCGGCTGCGCGCGCAAGGGACCTAGCGAAACTGGTCGCTTCATCTTTGAGGGCCTGGAAGGCTACAAGGACTTGCTCCTCTGTCAGGATATGCTGTAAGTACACGTAACTGTTGACACTGGCCTCCCAGTTGTCCAAGTTCTCCTCCTTCTTTCCCCCGTACGCATCTGGGAACTTGAGCTTTACAGGCTCTTTACGGGGTCTGGCCTCGCTCTCTACAGCGGCAACTGCTTTGGCGCCCTCGATAGCGCTCTCACAAAACTTCCCCATGTTATCTCTCAACTTCCTGACTTCTCCTCCAACGTGGGTAACCATCTCACGCGCAAAATCCCTAAGCCCAGACCGCATGGCCTTCAGGGCCACATCCTGACTCCAGCTGGCTTGGCGTTCCTCCATCCAAGCCGCGCTCAACACTTCCAAATATCCCAGTACTTTGTCCATCTTGGCAGAAATATCTGCCTCTGCCCCCACTTCTTGCCTACAATCCCGCACTTTTTTGCTACCTCCGCAATCAGCCTAGTGACTTCCTCCCTCCTTCTCTTCTTCTCCCTCATCATCAGGGTTGCACCCGCCGACCGTCGGTGGGCCTCGACCGGTCGGCTGTCGACCAGCTGACCGACCGATCGGCGGAGTCAGGGTGCTGCAGTTTCGCGCGGCGGCGCGCCCCGCCTGGTAGGCCCGCTTTTCGGCAGCGGGGGGGTACTGCCGGCGGTCGGCTTGTTGGGGGTCGGCCTGGGAGGTCGCCGACCGTGCTAACCGACTTTCCCATGGTCGATGGCCTTCAAAAGAGTGTCGCTGCCCACACTCTCCTCAGTCTTGTGTTGTGGCATTCTTCGCGCCGCCCGGGGAAGTGAGGACAGTGCAGGCAGCTTAGAGATCGCGGGACGAGCTTCATGGGGGGGCTGCAGCTTCGACAGTGGAGAGAGAGAGAGAGAGAGAGAGAGAGAGAGAGAGAGAGAGAGAGAGAGAGAGAGAGAAAGTGGTTGTGCCAGATAAGGCCATGGTGGGGCTGCAACTTAAATTCGTGAGATCTTCTTCTTCTATTTCTTCTTCTTCTTCTTCTTCTTCTTCTTCTTTTTCTTCTTCTTCTTCTTCTTCTTTTTCTTCTTCTTTTTCTTCTTCTACTACTCTTCTCTATTAGAAAAATCGCACATTGGCAGTTTGCCCTAATCTTCTTCTCTTCTTCTTCTTCTTCTTATTTTCTTCTTCTTCTTGTACTACTCTTCTCTATTGGAAAAATCGCACATTGGCAAGTTTGCCCTAATCTTTTTTTTTTTTTTCCTTCTTCTTTTTCTTTTTCTTCTTCTTCTACTAGTACTACCACTAACTCTTTGAACTTCGAAAAATCGCACATTGTCAAGTTTGCCCTTTTTTTTTTTTTTTTTTTTTTTTTTTTTTTTTTTTTTTCTTCTCTTTTCATTTCGAAAAATCGCACATTGCCAGGTTTGCCCTAATTTTCTTCTTCTTCTTCTTCTTCTTCTTCTTCTTCTTCTTCTTTTTCTTCTTCTTCTTCTTCTTCTCTCCATCTTCTTCTTCTTCTTCCCCATCTTCTCTCCATCCTCTTCTTCCTCATCTCCATCTTCTCTCCATCACCCACCTCCGATTTTATTTTTATTTATTTTTTTCCGGATATTCGTCGAGCAGCGGGCACTCACCTCCCTCCACTTCTACTACTCCCTCTTCTTCTCCTTCTTCTTCTTCCTCTCCGTCTTCTCTTCTTCTTCTTCTTCTCTCCATCTTCTTCTTCTTCTTCTTCTTCTTCTTCTTCTTCTTCTTCTTCTTCCCCATCTTCTCTCCATCCTCTTCTTCCTCATCTCCATCTTC